AACAGGTAAGTAATGGGGTACAAGATTTCTTTGGCAGTGAACTAAACAATGCATATGACATAATATTAATTGTACTACCGCTGTCTAACAAAGCAGAGATTTTTACATGTTTCACAGACACTGGCATGTACAAAAGCTTTGAAACATCATGTATAACATCTAAACATTCATCATTGACAATATCAGTACTGTCTGTATCAGTACAAGTTGATAAATTATTGTGAACATCATTGTGAATACAATTTGCCATTGCTAAAACACTGTCACTATCAGTGGAAGTAAAGTCACATGCACACGGCTTGTAAGACTCGCGCATATTGTCTGCAGATACACTACTGTCAATATCAGTTACATGTGCACTGCAGCGTGAGGAACTGTCACTATCAGTTGAAATAAAGTCACATGTACACGGCTTGTCATAGTATTCACACGCGTTCACAGCTGGTATACGATTGCGACTAGGAGATCGACTCCGGTGACGCTTTAATTGCCCTTTTTGGTCCGCCCGCGTCCGGTGGCGCCCGAGCCTCTCTGGTTTTCCGGGTGCGAACAAGGGAACAAGGCACAGTCTGTCGCAATGTGTCCATACTGTTGGCACAGTTGGCATTGTGCTTCTGGATTACTGGGTGTCGCCCCCGTCCACTGACATTCACTTCGGCGATGTCCTGGACCATGGCAGTTAAAACAGATGATCCTGTTCACCTCAGTGCGTTGCTGCCTAGTCTGTGGACGAGGAGGTTGGGGTGGCTGTTTCATCATTTCTGTCAAGGATGTCATCTTTACGGTGAGATCATTAATTTGGTCCTGTAAAGATGAGCTGGGTTGAGTTGCTAAAATTGCATTGCATCTACTCACAGCGCTACCATATCCCACTGACTCCCCTACCCGTGCACTCTGCAGTGCTTCGTCGATGTCGGTAGGCCTCCCTGCCCTAACAAAAAATTGTAGCTGTGTCGGAAGCCCGTCGATGAACTTCGTCATCAAATCGAGCGGTGACTTCTGGAGCTTTTTCCCTAGTTTGAGTATGTGGAAATAAAACTCCTCAACAGTAGTTTTCAGTTTTAGGCTGTTAAATGCTTCAGTGTCCGCTATGAGAGAGCCATTCATATGGAGAGTAAAGGACACATACTTGAGTTTGAATTCTGCTTCAATGCGGTGCCAGGACGATTTTGTCACAACTGGTAAATTATCGAACCACAGAAAAGCTGGTCCTGCTAAATATAGGGAAAAAGCAGAAACTTTGGGATGATCCTGTGTGATTCCTTGCAAAGTCATGATGGCTTTGAAGTCCGATAAAAATTTCTCTCCATCTTCATGCGCAAACCCACTAAACTTTGAAAGGGTAATGGGAATGATTGGTGCCGAATGAAGTACAGGTGCCCTCGGCGGTTCCACGTATGGGGTAGATTGATGCACCAACGGATGTGGGGGACAGTCATACGTTAGGTTCAATGGGTCCTCCCTGAACATGTGCGATTTAGGTGCAGGTGTATTACACAAATCGTCAAGGGATGGTAGAACTCGACTAATTTCAGGAGGATTAGTATCGTCTTGATAGGTAGCCATTGTATAGTGGTAAAAAGTTAAGTATTATATGTGCATGACGATCAATTCCGATGATACACACCTCGACAGAAAATGGCGGCAAAATGTCAGTCGTGCCTTCCCCCGTGAGTTTCTGTCACACAATCACGAAATGTCTAATAAGATGTTAACTCACAATCTTCTTCTTTAAATTCTCCACCATGTTATATGTATGTTTACTCGCTTGGCAACATACAATAATTCAAACAATTCTCTTGATATTAAATGACTTCGACTTCAAGCACGTTTTACTTCATTTTATTATCGGAACTCTCTAGTCTCAAAATTATACAACTCAAAAGTGCACGGTCAAATATCCGGATTGCTATGCAATGCCATGGTCAATACAACACTCTTGTTTACTTTAGTGGATGCAATATTTTTTTTAAAGTTTTATGCTAAAAGATACAAGTTAATAAAAACAATGTTAGGTTATTTGTGTTACTTTAAAATAAAAAAAATTGAGCTGGTTCTCACCATTTCTACAAGCTGACAACTCGCTGGCGCTTAGGGAATCGTCTCGGGCACAGTCCACTGCATGCAACTATTAAATAATCAAAATAAGTGCTGAAAATTATCTTGAACATGCATTTAAAAATAAATATATATTATTACATTGTACAACATACTCTGTAAATGTTGAAGAGAGGATTCACTAAAATTCCTGAATCGATCCCAAACGAGGAAATTCGTATTGAAATCCATCTTTATGAGAGATGTTTAGAAGTGTTAAATTATTAAAACAAAATTGAAATAGCGCTTGCTCAAATGATTTCACTGCAAGGCGTTTTATGTGTAGTGTCCTGACTAAGGAACAGTAGCAAAAGCAATTATTCATTCAAGGACAAATGTTAAAATATTTTGTACATTGTACCTACCGCAGTACCGGGTCGTAAAATGTCTTCATCTTCTGTCAAAACAGAAATTCTATCTATAGCTAGTCATAATTCTCCTTTTTGCAACACTCTCTTCCGAACTTTCCTTCTGTACAACATCAACATGGCTGCGTGTAACCCACCAAAAATTTAAATTTCGGCGCGGTGTGTTGGTTAAATTAATTGCTTATCGAGCCCGACTTCGATCCCGACGTAATTGTGCTATTAGTCGACAGTTTTAGAGAAAAATCTAAGTTATATTCCATAGTTTTGAAAATCTACGTAAGGGTTAAATAACTAGAAATGAATAAATAAACAAAGAATTAAAAAAATAAATTTATTTAAATAAATATTTTTTTAAACGTGTCAACATAAGTTTACATAGCAACATTGGTTCAACAATGTCGACCCAACATTACAAAGATGTCCATACTTCAACATTAAAAATAACAATGTTCAGGCACGTAGCAACGGGGGGGGGGGGGGGGGGGGGGGCTGGGCCTATAGTGAAATCAAAATAGCAAAAAAAAAAATGGAAGTGAAAGGAAGTTGACCTTGAAAAAAAGTTGTCCACCACCACCCCCATCCTTTTGCTTGTCAACTGTTTCAGGTAAGTAAAAAAAAATTCTATGCCCCCCCCCCCCCCCCCCCACTTTTGAGAACGATGCTACGTGCCTGATGTTGGCCCGACGTTGGAACAATGTCAGTGCACCAGCTGTTGTAATGACAATGTCGGACCGATGTTGGTACAACGTCAATGCACCAACTGTTATAATTACAATGTCGGACCGATGTTGGAACAATGTCAATACACCGACTGTTGTAATGACAATGTCGGACCGATGTTGGCCCAATATCGTTCTGCCAACCGCGATATGTAGCCGATCTACCAACCACATGCCAACATCGGCCCAACGTCAGCTTGCTATCACCACTTTTTGATGACGTACTACACAAAAAAACTAAACCTCCATTTTGTAGACCCCGTGGGGATCCGGGTTAGAATAGGTCCTCAGTAACCCCTTGCTTGTCGTAAAAGGCGACTAAATGGGGCGGTCCTTCGGATGAGACCGTATAAACCGAGGCCCCGTGTCGCAGCAGGTGTGGCACGATAAAGATCCCTCCCTGCTCAAAGGCCCTGAGTGCCGAGCATAGGCCTAAATTTGCAGCCCTTCACCGGCAATGGTGACGTCTCCATATCAGTGAAATATTCTGGAGCGGGACGTAAAACAGTATACAATCAATCAATCAATCAATCCATTTTGTAGACCTGTTCGGTCAGGGGACGAGTAGTATAGTTACCTCTAAAATATGACCCTGACCTTTAAAACGCTTTAAAAATAGATGAAACATGCGGTGTTGTAAACAGTGAAAAACAAAGTAATGGATTCATTATGCATAAACCAAGAAGAATTGCTTTTAGGCAGAAACAAACCAAAGCAACAGTCAAATCTTCGCCAAACAAGTAATGTCAATTTCATAGCGATGCATGCAGTGAACTATCAATCACTGACCGCATGTATGTATGGAGGAAATTCGAGTTAAAATCTACAACCTTGTTGGAATTAAAATTTTATTTAATTGTGCTATTTACTGTGTTGGTGTTAATTTATATATTTGTTTTATTGATTTAAATGTATACTCTGGCAATTTAAAGCTTTATTCTGAATTTTAGATGTAATATCAAACGTTCCATAGTGTTTTGAGTCTTGGCTAATTAGGAAAGATAACTCTTGAAAGTGGACTTTCTATACCAAATATTTTTTAAATTGGATTTTTCATTTCGTTTAAACTTTCTTCATTCAATTTGACACATGTAATTCATTGAAATACATTCCTTGTCTCTTCAGAACACACTTTTAAAATGTTTTATGCATAGATTAAAGAGATAATGACATTAATTTTTTTCAATGAGAAAATTATTTTTTCTAATAAAATTATTATTAGGTATTATGAGGTATTTTCACTGCATGTACTTGTCTTAAGAAGATGCCCATCATTTGACACTGAAAGTTCTAAAATTCTTTGAATACTGAACCTGAAATAAAACATTTCACTAAAATAAAACAAAAACTAAAAAATTCTATAAAAAATATTTATGATATCAATACCCCCATCTGGATATTTGACATCTACATCATAAGTGGTGCTGTATTGAAATCTAAAATAAACTGTGGATGTAATGAGCCACCTTAAACGTTTACACTTTACACACAAGTAATGCTTTGTTGGGTACAACCTGGCAACTTGACAAAAAACTCATATTTATCGAATACTTGTACCGAAATGAATGAGGTTTCACTGGATTGTTCGCTATATGACTCATGTCCAGATAATTTCTGTCTTACGAAAGTAGTTTGTCAAACCTAACCTTATGAACAACTATTTACTTTTGCTAAATAAATGTATCATTTGATATTGAAATTAAAAAAAATATCAAATACAAACATTTGAAAAAGACTTAAGGGTGCTTATAGGGTTGGGCAGTAATTAGGAATTATACGGTAATAATGATAAATAAGACGATTCAAGCTAACCCACCTGTAGATAGCGATAAGTAAATTAAGTAACATCACAACAGCTATCAGACAGTAAATGCCTCTCAGGTAAGGCGATATTGCACTGCCAAGGGACGTAGGGCATCTTTCTTGTAAACCAGCTTCGTATATGGTAGCATTGTCTGTACAGTCTTGACCTAAAATACATTAAAACATTAATATACAATTAGGTCAAACTTGTTTCGGTTATAATTGCTTTTATGAAGGTCAATATTAGCTAAATATTGTGAAAGTCTGTTACATGTATTATTGAGAGATCTCTCATTGAGAGATCTTCTTTTAAAAATAAACATTTCAATGAATCTTGAAGAAAGCAAAACCATTAATTTCACTCTGTGTCTGAAACGGAAATAAAAAAAAAATTTGGTTAACAGGAAGCTCATAAGAAATCTGGTTCACGTAATAATAACATTATAAAAAGAAAGTATTGCAACTGACTCTGAGGAATTATAGTGAAAATAAAATAATTGAAATCTCTCTCTCTTTCACTCTCTCTCTCTCCCACTCTCTCTCTCTCTACCATGGTAAGGAGCACACTGGGGTGGTACCTTATCCCGACTCTGATGTTTTAGAGGTCATTGTTTGCTCTGATCGTGTACTGTAATTTTTTAAGGATTTTGATTTAAATATTGTTCATTAACAACATATATTTCATCTCTCTCTCTCTCTCTCTCTCTCTCTCTCTCTTACCGACATCGACATCAAACTCTCCATATAAAGTCCAGTATCCATTTTTCATAATATTCTCTACTTCTTCCCAGCTAAACTCGGTGTTTGGAAACAGAAGGGCGTAGTCCACCACATTGTAGCACATCATAATAATCAGTACAATGGCCATAAATGCTAGTGTGTTCCCAAACTAATATAAAAAAAATATAAATACATAAACAAAAAAATATTGGTACTTTCCATAAGAGAAACAAGTATTATTTATATCAATATGTCTATACAAAAAAACTTCTAACCATATTTATTCATAAAACACTTGAAAAACTTGCCATTTTCTGGATGATAACAAGTTGGGTTCCAAGAAACTCTGATGTCCAAAACATGTTGAGAATTCGAACATTTAAGATAATGTAAGCAGATATATACAGTAATTTGGCAGCATCCTCCTTCAACGCATTGTCAAATGATTTCAGAATGGCACCCAAGGAACAGACAATGATAATTAACCAATCCAAACGATTCCAGAAATCTCCTAAGTAGATTTTTATTGCGTCAGGTTTCGTCTTCCTTCTTTCAATGGCAACAATGATCTGAAAGTTACAGCTTTTGTAAGAAAACGGTTAATTTCAACTGATTTATAGTTTACAAATACTGGGTTTCTCTATCAGTATGAAAGAAAAACAGTATTGGGTAAAATAATTGCACTTAATGGAGAAAATCATAAGTCAAGAATTGGACAGTTAAAGATGACATTTACCAATGACCTGAGATGCGCAGTGGTTAGATCATCTGCTCTTTGGTCGGAGAAAGGAGCTGATCCTTATATCGTGGATTCGAATCCACTACGAGACATAGAGAGCTTTCCTTTGGATGAGACCGTCTAAACAGAGGTCCCGTAAGCAAAAGGTGTTAGTGCGAAAAATATCGGATAAAACCCTATAAACCGAGGCCCTGTGTCGCAGTAGAAGCTGACACAAATTAGATCAATCCCTTCTTAATGGCCCTGAGTGCCGAGTATAGGACAAAAGTGGTAGCGTCTCCATGCAAGTGAAAAGAAAATCTAGAGAGATATGCTTAGCAAGGTACATCAATTAATGTCATACCTGTTCTAATTCGTCCACAAATTTACAAGCTACCCAGAAAATGACAGCTAATTCAGAGCGTGAAACTGTTTCTTTGCTGTAATCAAACAACAGCATGTACGCAAACACACCGAGGAAAAAGAAAACTCCAACCTAGTAGAGAATAAAAGAAACCAATGTAATTTACAAAATATGTACTAATGATTAAAGTGAAGATAACCAGCACTAATTGATTTAGGAAAAATTCACAAATCAACATGAACCTTCCATAATTATATGATAACCATAATTTTATAATTACCATATTTATCCATAACTTCAGGATTGGGATGTGGTATTTCTTGTAGAACCTTTTTATGAAGAAGGCATTTGATTATATTAATCAACATTTTGTTTAAAAAAAAGATCAATAATGATATCATTTTCAGCTGACAAAGTTATAAATGGTTTAGAAAATCACATACTCTAATAATGAAATATTTACCATGTTAAAGGTGGTCTGTCAAGATTGACAAGCAGTAGAGGCATAAGGAAAATATGGAGCACAAAAAGAGTAAATGTTGTTAGCTTCTGCAAAATTAATTCACCTTATCAAAAATGGTCTTAAACATTTTATTGTCGTGAATTACTTTTTTATTTAAAACGATAGCTTTAATTAAATCTTCAATTTTCTATATATCCAACATGTTGAATTAGTTAATCACAATACATACTAGTTATTTTTTTCTTTATGTTCGATGCATTACATAAGCTTAAGTTTAACAATAAATAACTAAAAATGTTAATGAAGGGGGACTATAAATTTGATAAAGTTTTAATATATATACCCCCAAGTAACCTCTATTTTTCGTATACCCCATTCCATTCCATAACTCCTTTATGATAGTTTTCAGCTGTGGATTTTCCAAAAACCACTCATTCTCAGTTTTGTATGCAACATCTAGATAACCATGGTTTAGAAGTAATCTTCCCGCGTTGTTGACGTCATCCTTTTTCTTAAAAAGAAACGTCATCACTTTGTCTGATATACTTGTCGGCTCGTCCGGTTTGTCTCTCTCATCTCTTTCATGAATATAGTTCATGATACTTAGTGCATGCCGACCAAACATCCTGAAAAGGATTTATTTAATACTGATTAATAAATAATTATAATTTTTTTCCGATAATAAGCGCATGAAGACAAAAACGTTATGAAATAAGACTTAACTTTTAAAAATAATCGTTGCCCGAAACTAGTGCATGTCGACCAAACTTCCTTTAACAGAATTTCGTTAATAAGCTTGATGATCTTCACACATATCCCTTGCTTTTTCATATAAAATGCATAATTTAAGCAGATTTTGAGAGAGGCTAAGGACTGGATGATATTTCATTTTAGTTTAAAATTACCTTCTTAATCTATGTAATTCTTTCTCTTCTGAAATTCTTACTTTCCAGTCTTTGCTGAGATCCTTCAAAATCTTGCAACCAATCAAAATTGGCTTTATCCCCACCTGTTATAAAGACATTGGTTGAATAAACATACATTTATAGGATGTAAAATGTGTGTCTTCGAAAAAAAAATTGAGTTCCCAACCAATACAGAAGAAATGCACCCCCCCCCTTCCCCCAATTAGCTTAATTTGAAATCTTTAAAGAAACATTTGGAGCGAACAGACTGTATTCAAAATCAAAAGTCCATTTAACAATGTAAAACAGGACCAGAGCAATCTGGGACATTTAAAACATAAGAGTTGAGATCAGGTGCCATGGAAGAGTGAGCATCCCCTGCCTACCGTTCACACCCTCGTGTGCTCTTTGTCATGATCGGAAAATAACAGATAAATCCGTCGTCCCGTCGGTGTATGAATAATTAAATATTAGTATGAAAAAGATTTATTATTATTTATATGATAAAAAATTTATTCTCTTCTGAAACCTACACATCCTGTTTCCAGTAACTGTCTGGCTCCATCGAAATGTTTTGTTTGTAGCAGAGCGTAAAACACAAGGTCCAATATGCTGCAGCCTTTGCCTACTTCCAACTTTTTTTCCTCTTTGTAAGAAAACAAAACATTCCATCAGGGATAAATAATAAGTATTTGTGTATACATGCATATTTATGTGGAATCATTAAATTTCTTGATGGATTAATTTTCGTGGAATTTATGGGTACCTTTCATCTACTTGTTAAGATCCTCCAAAAACAATTAAACTATGAGTATATTTGCGTTTGTTTTTATGAGAATACAGGAAATTACGTTCGTGTAATTTTTGTTAAATTTCGGCAATCCATAAAAATTGGCCGAAAGGATTTTCAATTTTTCGACAATATATATAGTCTAGAATCTTCCTAATGCACATAATCATATGCAAGAAAATCCCTTAAAAATTAGTCAAAGTATTATCAAAGTGAACTCAAAGTTGTTTCTCAAAACAAATTTGCATAGATCCCTCGAGGTCAGCGATCTTGTTATTAAAGCATTTTTAATAAACATGTAATAAATAGCCGTTAATTATTAACTCTAAGGTAAATATTTACCAGTATACTTCGGAGGCTCATATGCGGATTCTGTTGTTTTTCTAAGGTCTTCGAACAATCCAAATTTAAAGTCTTCTTCCATATTCTGAACATTAAATATTGAAATACATGTATAGATGGGCTTTTTATCTCTAATCAAAATTTTGTTCCAAGTCAAAGACATGGCAAAAAAGGTGCATGGAGAAAGAACAAGGTTCACCTTTGCCTTTTTTTTGGCCCGGTGAATTTCTGAAAAACTGAAGTTTTAGTTAACAACGCATTGACTAACACGTAGATCTTTGTTTATTGCGTATCTTTAAAAATGACGTAATTTTCTAGCTAGTCGATGCATTAAGACGTCACGAAATGCGTCAATTTTCTATTCTTAAAAAATTCTACAAAACGGCTATTTTTCAAAGATATTTTTTGTTATTTAATATAGAGCGCAACGTCTGATCTAAAACATGCAACTAGGAAATGAAGAACTGTTTCTGAGAATTACAAGACATGTTTTATATTTAAGATCAGAGAGTGTGCTTTTATTATTTTTCTTCAGTAAAAGTACTCATATATACATGTACACTGTACCTACTTAACTTAAAATTCAAGAAAATTGCAATTTCATACATGTAAGTTCACTTCTCCAAGACCTGGACATTTAAGAGAAAAAATTGATACGAAATTAAAGCACTAAGTTTATATTTTATTTTAATGCTTCAAATGGAACATCAATTGTTAATCAATCAATTGGTATGTCTATAGGACCATTTTGTGCATAAATTGAACCGAGATCTTTGTAAATTTATTTTGACCGCTTTTTACCCTTCTTGCTAAATTCTGGAATATTGATTATCTAATAACAACAAAGGCACAATTAAGCAGAGCATTCATCTACAAAGGAGCTAAGTGAACTTAACATGAATTATTAATTGTTTTACGTTTGTTACGCATGTACTTTCTTAACCACGCCCCACCTAACATACACAACATATACACACAACGTCGATCCTGGTGCAAAAAAAATCACTTCCGTTAAGTACAAAAGGACAAACTAATCAACTCACATGTCGATCGTTTGTGGCTAAAACTTTTTCTTGACAAAAATAGACTTAATCTAAGGAACCAACTTTAGAATACAAGCTTGTACTTGGTTTTTAATTTGAAATAATTTTTAAGCATGGAAATTTCAAGAAATATTTGTCAATTAAATTCATCTTGACAATAAATATTTTATCTCTGTTTTGAAAGGAGAAAGATTTTTAAAAGCTTACCTTTTCAAAGATAAATTGTATTGATTGCTGATTAAATATTTTCTCTAATGTTTCCGTAACGTATGATCCAGGAAAATTCCAGCGTCCAGCCTTTAATAACTGCACAGGAAGAAAGTGCATATATAACGGTATTCTTTTTCCCTGGAAAAAAAAATGAAAACTGCTTATCCATTTTTGTTTACATTGATTTAAGTGTATATGGTTTCTCCTTAAAATGCTCTGTAATACATGACATTTTATTCCACATCTAATTTTTGCTCCACACCTGACTGGAGTTATTAGTTTGAATACTTAATCCTCGCTGTCTAGTAAGTATAGTATGCAAGGGCATCAAAGATGGTTTGAAACGATACAAAAATTACATAACGAGCATATCTTTGCATTTTATTGTTTTCTGAAAGAAAAAAAAGTTAATTTTTCGTGGCGTAATTAATTATATTTTCCGTAAAAATCAGGCTCCGCCTCATTTATGCAGCCTCAGCTGTACTGCGTTCCTAAAATATGATGAATTAAAGAGAAAAAATTACCAATAAATCTGTAAATTCTTCTTCTGGTGAAACATGGACTGCTCTGTCTTTCAAAATGTGAAAAATAACTGTGAAATAATATAAACATGCACTTTAACTTACATTGGAGAATAAATAATTGAGTTAAAACATTGCAACAATTCAAATAGATAAAAAAAGATAATAAATAAACAAGGTTTATATCATTAACTTTTCGGGACATCTTATTTTAATGCAACGGGCATTTGACCTGTTTTACTAAGATAATCATCAGTTCTTATTACCGGTATTGCTCTGTATTATCTTTGTCAATGATACTCTAATAAGATAGATATCTCTTAATGACATAAAAGTCTATTATTCGTTAGATGCTTATAGATTTTTCAAGTTGAAGTGTATTTCTTTTTCCCAATTTTGCTTCCTAACCTAAGCTATATTTGTGTTCTACTAAAATAATACATTTTGAAAAAGCATATAAGTTCAAGCAGAGGGTTATAATTTTTAAGAATATAAATGTAGATGATAGTTATATTCTTTTGCATAAAATTAATAATAATTAAGATAAAATTATTTTTTTGAGATCACGTGACGGGCTCACAGGGTATGGACGTTACCTTTCGAGCTCCGCTTTTTTGATCGAGTTCTGTGGATTTATTTTCATATTTTGAAATTCTTTGTGGTCTATATGGACAGAAGACTACATAGATATATTTTCTTGTGAAATTTGTGAAATATTTGATTGGATTTATGTGCTTTTTGTATATCCTGTTTATCAGTTTATTGTGTGAAATTCGGTGAGTGAGAGATCAGTGAATTGAGTTCATCGAACAATGGCACAGGTCTTAAAGCCGGTCTATTTAAAGAACAGTGAAATACTTGGCTCGAAAGAGGGCAAGGTCACTAATTTTCTGCTTGTACAATGCGCTTCAAAGGTAGTTGGTGACACCATTCGGTGTATCCAATTAGATAGAGATTTGTGGCGGATCTATTTGAACACTAAAGAGGGAAGGGATGGCATTAATCTGCAGGGCTTAGATATTGGAGACCAACATGTCAAGGTATATGACTCAAATCCATATTCGACAGGCCTTGAAGCTCCCGACGATAAGTCTCTAAAAGTCACAATCTGCGGCCTCCCTCTATCAGTGGATGATAGTGCCGTTTTTGAAATGTTGTCTAAACTTAAAGTCACACCCAAAACTAAAATGTACTACGAGAAAATTAGAAATCCAGAAACAAAAAGAATGACAAGTGTTCTAAATGGAAATCGTTTTCTATACATAGATCCATTACCACCCAACGCAACCCTACCCAGAAATGTATATTGTGCCGGGCTAAAATGTAAACTATACCATCAAGATCAGCATATAGACAAACCAGCACTCACATGCACCAATTGCTGGCAAAATGGGCACAATAAATTCCATTGTGAAAACGAGACGTGCTGCGCAGTATGCAAAAAACCGGGGCACAAACCAGGATCTGAAGATTGCGATTTCTACATTCCCGTGAAACCCAAAAATTTGGAAACTTTTCAAGGAGAAAACAATGTATTGTCAAATTTCTTCCCATGTGAGATTAAGATCTTTGGAGAGTCATTTAGGTCGGCAGAACAAGCCTTTCAAACAGCGAAGGCACTAAGATCAGGTGATGTAGGTGCAGCTGAGCGCATTCGTAACGCTAAGACTGCCCTAGAAGCAAAACGTATCGGCAATCTTGTCCAAAAATCAGATCAATGGAAGGAAACGGAAAAGGGAGTCATGGAACAAATCATCGCAGAAAAGGTAAAACAGTGTGAAAAAATGAGAGACGAACTACTCTCCTTTAAGCCGTCTGTGTTCTTTGGACACCCAGTTTATGATCTATACTGGGGAACTGGCCTGTCTTATGAAGAAACAATCAAAACATCACCAACGGCCTGGCCAGGGAAAAACATGATGGGGGAGATAATTGGTTGCGCCGCTGAAAATCTAAGAAAAAGCAGGAAAAGAGATCAACGGAAACGTTAACGGTAACTGTCTAAGTTAAGATGTATGAACACACAGAACTCTTCTATTTATGTCATCGTTAAAGTTGTTGTCGTTAAATGCCCGAGGGCTTAATGATTATTCTAAAAGACAGGCTTTATATGATTGGCTTAATGATACTAATTGCAAAATAGTTTTTCTACAAGAAACTCATTATATAACTGAAAGAGAAAATATTTACAATGCTAGATGGCAAGGTTCAAGCTATCATTGTTTTTCCAACTCTTCCCATAGTAGAGGGGTATCTGTATTATTTCATAAAAGTTTACCAATTATTGTTCATAACATACACAAATCAGATGATGGAAGGAGAATTTTAATTAATATTGAGTATGAACAGAACATTATAAATTTAGTAAATATATATGCGCCAAATTCAGAAAATGAAAGATGTAAATTTTTCAAAAAACTTGCTTCATGCGTTTCTCAATATTGTTTAAATGAACAAAACATTATATTAGTTGGGGATTTTAATTCAGTACACAGTGCAAAAAATAAATGTTCAAAAATAATTAATGATTTAAAATTTAAATTTCGATTGATTGACATATGGGACAAAATTAATCCTGAAAAAGAAGGGAATACTTGGTGTGATTCAAATAATAAGCCTAAAAGTAGAATTGATTACATATTCACTTCCGAGAATTTATGTTATCCTGTCGAAAAAATATTACTTAGAAAACCTCCAGATGTTTCAAATACTAGAATGAGTGACCATAGGTCTTTTATTTTTTACTGCACCCTCTCAAAAAATGAAAGAGGTAATGGTTTTTGGAAATTGAATACGTCAATTTTACAAGATGTTGAATTTTGTAACATTATCAAAACCTTTTTCGAAAATCTGCCTGAAAATATTAATAACCAACCAGATCCACAGATACGTTGGGAAATGATTAAATATGAAATAAAAGAGTTATGCATTGAATATTCAAAAAAGAAAAACAAAAGCATAAACAATCGTATTAAAGTAATAGAAAAGGAAATTGAAGAAATTGAAATGTCTAAGTCAAATGAAATAAATATGCTACATAAAAAGCAATTGGAAAAAGAATTAGACAATTTATATACATATAAATCAAAAGGAGCAAGGGTGAGATCCAAAGCGCGTTGGATCGATGACGGTGAAAAAAACACCTCCTATTTTTTAAGACTAGAAAATAAACACCAATCACATAATGTCATAAATAAATTATCGGTAGGAGATAAATGTGTATATGAAACAGAAGAAATTTTAAATACACTTAGTTCATACTATGAGAAACTATACTCGTCTAGCAATGTATCAATTAACGATGTAAAAAGATATTTACAAGAAACCGAACTTACTAATTACCTATCTGATGTAGATAGAGAAAATTGCGATAAAGTTATAACAATTGAAGAATGTGCAGAAGCCGCTTATAATATGAAATTAAAAAAATCACCGGGATTAGACGGAATTCCCGTGGAATTTTACAAAATGTTTTGGAAATATGTAAAATTTTATTTATATGAAAGCCTAGTGAGATCATTTGAGAAAGGCGAATTATCTTCTTCACAAAGATCTTCTGTTTTATCACTCATACACAAAAAAGGAAGCTTGATAAATCTCGATAACTATCGCCCTATTAGTTTAACAAATTGCGATTATAAGATTTTAGCTTTCGTATTTGCAAAGAGACTACAAACTATTATGGACAAACTCATTAATGATAATCAAACGGGGTATATTAAGGGAAGATTTATCGGTGAAAATGCAAGATTAATACAGGATATATACAATTATTGCGAAGAAAATAATGAGGAAGGAATATTATTGTTTGCTGATTTTCAAAAGGCATTTGATTCAGTTGAATGGACTTTCTTGTTTCAAACTCTTAAAAGGTTCAACTTTGGAGAGAATTTCCTTCGATGGATCAAAATTTTATACACAAATCCTTATTTTCATGTTAAAAATAATAACTGGTTAACTAGAAAGTGTACAATGTCAAGAGGCATTCGACAAGGGTGTCCCGTCTCAGCATTGCTTTTTCTTTTTGTTATTGAAATCCTGATGTTAAAAATAAATGCTTCTGAAAATATACAAGGTTTCAAAATCGGACAATCAAGCGAAATAAAATGTTTGCAACATGCAGATGACTGCACATTGCCAATGAAAAATCAGGAATCTTTAAAAGAATCTATTAAAGTAATAAAATCTTTTGGGGAAATATCTGGTACAAAGTTAAATTTAGAAAAAACAAAGGGTATTCTCTTAGGGCCGCTTAAAAACACATGGGAAGAGGTAGAAGGAATTAAAATGACAAATAAACCTATTAAATCATTTGGAATTTTCTTAGGACATGACAAAGTATCTAATAATGAAAGAAATTGGCTAAACAAGCTTAAGGAATTTGAAAAAATATTAGATTCATGGAGAACTAGAAGTTTAACTCTTTTCGGAAAATGTACCGTTATTAATTCACTAATAGTATCTAAATTAGTATATGCATTCACAGTTCTTGAAAATCCAGATGTTAAATACATTAAGAATTTAAATATAATTATTTAAATTTTTTATGGTATAAGAGAGAGCGAATTAAGCGGAATTCACTCGTAAGACCAATAAACGAGGGCGGTCTTGGTCTAATTGATATAGAATGCAAACTAAGAAGCGTAAAAGCCGGATGGATCAAAAGACTATATAATAAAAATTCCTCACTTAGAATTTTCCTAGATAACGCTTTAAAATCTTATGGAATAAATTTTGAATATCTGCTACGCAGCAATATAAAAAATCCGACTGATTTCAATATTTTAAATAAATTCCCAAATTTTTATAAAAAAAATCTTCTGTAGCTTTAACGAGTGTAAAATGTTAACATCACCACGAAATAAAATAACAGAAAACCTATGGTTTAATAGTTTCATTACACAAAATAACAAACCATTATACTTAAAAAATTGGGCAAAAAGTGGTATTTTATATGTAAAAGATATGTTTACAACAGAAGGTATGAAAAATGTTACGGAAGTAAAAGAGATCATTGAATCAAAGAGTAATTACTTGTGTGAATATCTTATCATGAAAAAAGCGATTAAAAAACTACATATAGATTATTGTAATGTAAAGAACACTAATATACAAAACCCGTATTTTTATTTTCAAGGGAAAAGTATAAACCCAAAATTTGAAAAATCGGGATTTTATTATAAAATTTTACTTTCTAAAAAGAAACAAAAATCAATAATGGAAACTAAATGGTCAAAAGAATTCAATATAATGAATGGTCAATGGAAAGATATCTATACAGCTAAGATACTAAATATTTTCGATAAACAGATAGCAGAATTCAATTCTAAACTTTTACACAACCAACTGAATTGTAATTATCATGTTAGTAAATGGAATAAAGAAGTGGCAAAAAATTGTACATCTTGCGGACAAGTAGAATATATTAAACACTTAAATTTTGAATGTACGGACTCAAAAGGAGTATGGGAAAAAATATCTCAAATATTGAATTTAAATCTATCCTGGAAACATATTGTTGTAGGATTTTATAATGAGTTCAATAACACAACATTGATTTTTAATAATGTCATATCAATTGTGGGATACAAAATATATAAATATAAAATGAAATGTAGGTTGCAGAACGAAATAGTAAATCAAAATGCAATGTTATTTTTTTTGAAATCGTCTTTGTATCAGTATTATGTAATAGCAAAGAGTGCAAAAAGTGTTAAATCTAACTACTATCTTTTGAAAAAGTTAGCAGACGAATTATAATCTTTATTTTTCTATATACGTTGTAATTAAATTGATATTTTATCTATATATCTATTAAATATGAAATGTTTTTTACTGAAATATTTATGTCTTTTTGTGAAAATGAAATACTGGTTTTTCTCTATTGTAAACTTTTGTAAATTGAAAAATATACCGATCCAGGGAGCTCCTGGCACCCCAGGTGAGGTATTAACCGAGGGCTTCTGAGGAAGTTTTGCCTCAAAATTCGTTGTATGTTAATGGAAATAAATGTTAAAAAAAAAAAAAAAAAGATAAAATTATTTTGAGGAAATATACTTTTTGTGATTACAAAAAAAGACTCACAGGATATTCATATATTGAGTGTAGATTTTTGTTTTTATAATACGTAAAAAAATTGTCTTTGGTTTAAATTTTAGCAAACATGTGGCATCGATAAAGAAAAAAAAATAATTTATTAACTTTCGATATTTAAAAGAAATGATATTTAATTAAATTAATTAACTGCATTTGCATCTATCCATCTTTTAAGTCATTGCACTGTTCAAATGTAAACTATTTCAAGTCAAAATCACTACTATTCAGGTTACAGTCAATTTTTATTCTAGAATTCTTCACAAAAGTCGTATCAAAATTGCCTTTGAAACGATAATGATACTGTAATTCATCGCTTTCTTTTTATTGATTAGATTTGAGGTACTGTGAGCAATGAGCTCACTTAATGATACCCCCGCCTCCCATATGTATAAAATGACAGTGTCCATGTTTTGGTATGTGAAACCCAAAATATGTATCGGTTCGAAAAGTAAAATAGGAGGTGCACAATAGAAATATGTAATAAAGATTCTGTAAAAGTTTCATCAAATTTCACTCATTGGTATGAGAGGAGTTGCTGATAAGAGATTAGTACCCCAAAGCGTAAAAGACAGACGGACTGACGTACAGACGGGCGGACGGACATAACGATTACTATATACCCTCCCGCTTTTTCTTTCGGAGGGTATAAATATATACCTCCAGTAAGGATTGATGAAACTCGAATATCAAAATCTTTCACGTCTTCCGTGGTGAACAAAATACTTTCACTCTCATCAGAAGAATTCATACAATCTGACTTAGATTCAAGTCTTTTTATCATCCAAGGCTGTTGAAAATCAACATGATAAACCATCTTGTTTTCCTGCGATTCTCTGGTACCACCTTCGGAGTCGATTTTACAACCTATTCCATGCCATGTCACAAAAACAGAGGTGAGTGTCTGAAACAAAACAGTAACATTTCTTTTTATTTTGCAAGAAAAGTATAAAACATAGATATGCGTTTTCCAAATGTAACATTTATTCATTTATATAATGTGTCTACAAGTTATTATCCTCAAATGGCCTACATGTACATCGCAATCCTATCGCAATTTAATTTTCTTCCATTCTTATATATCTATATGTCAAATAAATTTTCCCTATTGTTATTTACAAAATAGAATACTGTTTTCTTTCTCATAAAATATCATTAAAAATCACTGTTATCTACATTGTTCCGTCATAATACCGTACCTGATGTGAAAACTATAGTGCGAACTGTTAAAATTAAAAATTGAGAGTTTAATTGAGCAATCTAGGGCAACTCATCAAAAGATGTTAATATAATGAAAATATAAGAATTGAATCTAATTCTTGAAAATTCATAAGGTACCTGAACTACAACGCTTCACGCCAGCATATTTATAAAGAAGTGCTAACGTACTTCATAAAATATGTCGATGTCAACGGTTATAGTTCATGTCCTCATGAATCCTCAAAAATTAAATCCATCTCCATCGTAACCTTTTCATCATACATTGCCTACATCTATCGGACGTGAAATAATTGTACAAAAGTGTGCATATACTGGATAATTTGTTATCTCAAAATCGTATTTTTCTCTTCCTGTCAGGAAATCAAAGAAATATTAGGAGGTTCACCAATTTTGGTCTCATTTTCACTTTTCTACTTTAAATTCCTCTGGAAAAGTGAGCCTGTGATCAGAAGTGAGCTTATCTAAGTTTTAAAGCCCCCAGGCCTGTTCCCACCTCTTATGTTTATGAGGTCCGTGTGCATGCTCTGCTTCAAAATTTGCATTGCTTAATGATCTTTTGAGTCAAATGCTGTTTTTTAAACTCCATATATTTTATTTCTTTCCGTTATATTTTATGTTTTCAATACCTTGAGGTATATAACTGGGATTGCCAGTTTTTCTGCCTCCTTAACCATATTTTCAGTTGGTGGTTTAGTTGTGATGATAACGGGCATCATCTCTTCTCCCATTAGATCTGCCAAAACATCATATTGCAAATTTTCCTTAAAATTACCGGGTAATTAGAAGCATTACACACTGGGAGGCCAAATAATTATTTTAGCATTTAATTTCATTTTTTATGATGGTCTTATCTAAGACTTACGCTCTGCCAATCCAAGGAAGTATTTCACTAATAAATAATCTTCTTTGTATTGTTTTTCTATCTGTTTGAAAACTACAATTCCGTCCTTTACTACACTCTATTGAAAAGTAAAATTAAGATTCGAAGATTATTCAAGATTCTTTAAGGGTTTTGGGGAAGTGGCCATTTTCAGACTATTATGATCTCCTTTAGAAGAACAGCTTCATATAAAGATATATAAAAAGGATAAAAATTTTAAACTAAAATGCATTTTTTTCTAATTCAAATGATAGTTGGCAGTTTAAGATATCAAATCTAAAAAAGTAAGTTAAATCTGGTGGTTAATTTGTTGACCCCAAGCCTCCTTAAATTAAAAAAAAAACTATAAAGAGACTCTCAGAAAAAAATTCGAATATACGCAAAAACTATAATATAATTGTAAACCTTGATTACTTCTGCTGTCGTTGATTCGTGAACTCCACATGCCTTGTTTTTAACGTCCAGATTTTCACCGATGAGAAACTTGTCGTTGACAAAATGACACGGACAGCAGGTTAATTCTTTCAAAGTTTGTCACAATAAAGAAAATATTAACTGACATTTCGGGATACCGGTAATATAAAAATATTGATGGACTTAAAACACATTTTTCTATGTTATTAACATAAGTTTGAGTCTGTATTTTAAACTTTTCTTACTAAGTAGGTGCTTATATCCAATTGCACATTCAAATAAAAGGTTATCTTACATCAGCAAAATTGAGAAGCTAATGAGAATAATTAGATATGACCCGTTTAAACTTATATAAAAGTAAGCGTAGACCTTCCAATCTGAGTCGCAAAAAAGTATCCTCCACAATATAATGTAGAGATGGCCTGAACGTTGTTTCTTTCTTCACACAGTTTCCATTTTTCCATATTTGAACCTGAATTTTCTTTATAAAAAATAAAACTTTGTTAGTAAAAATATGAAAATAAAACAGGAAGCCAAGGGGCGACATCGCTCACCTGCACCCAATGGCGAGGTCAAAATAAGAATCAGTTTAATATTGAAAAGAAGAAATACATCAGCGGTCAAAAACTAGCCCCAAAAGACAAAAATGTGGTCGCACCTTATGAACATACTTTAACTCACTTGAGCCTTTTTCAAAGGATACTCCGTGCAAAGTGTGACCGAAATTCACCGATTACTTCTGGAGGAGAAAATGCAGTTGTGAAAAGTTTATGACAATGAAAAGGCCAAGAAAGACGAAGGGGAAAATTCAATCAGAATAGCATACATGAGCCTTCGGTTCAGGTACCAAAAGTAACATGTTCTTATTTTTTATCAAAATAAGGAATTTTCCATTCTAAGTGTTTTCAAAAATATAAATTGAAAGTTGCCTTAAAACATCAATGCTGTGAAAAGGCATAGTTATCACCATATATGTATATATGCTATTTTATTACGTCAACCAGCAAAATGAAAGGCGGAGAAGATATTTTTTAACAATCCAACCATAGAAAAAGGCATAAGTTTTCTTACCTGATACTGTGCTTCTGTCTCTATATTCACCACAGAGTTTCTATTTTTCCAAATTTCAACCTGACTTTTCTGAATTAAAGTAAGAGCATTTAAGTTAAAGTTTTAAAAAGAGAAATATTTTTTTTTTAAACAGCATTTCCAGTGTTTCAATAGTCAAAGGGAATTGGAAGAAAAAAATGTTTGGAATATCACATACGATAAAAAGATGTATCAACTCAAAATAAACAAAGCTGATTTTTTGCTCACCTGATGTCTGGCTTCTATCTCTATATTTGCCACCTTATGTTCCAATTCATCTATAAATTGAATCATTGGTTGAAGAAATTTTAAAGATTTTTTTTTCATTATTTAACACTATAGTGTGAAAGCCTGAAAAGTTAATTTTTATGCGAGAACACATTTTGAAAATCCCAAGAAAATTCAAATAACAAATATATTAAGTATAAAATAATCAAAAGAGACAATATTGAAACAATTTAGAATAGTTACATTTTTATTAATCTAAATTGGATATAATGAGGGGTTTTTGGCTTAGACATTTTTTAATAATGATGGTAAATCTAAAAGAAACGCATTTTATACACCAAAAAAAAAAAACGTCACTCAATATTTAGTGCTATTAGAATGAAAGATTTTTATAATGTTTAATCAATTATTTTAAGCTAATTATAACCTTCTCCTATGATTGGCAGATGATCTTGATAGATGAATGTTGCTGATTTAACGTTGGTCTGACTTTTTTGAAGCATCATTTCAGAAATGTCTCGTAGAAAAATTTCTCCATCCTGGTTTTGTAGAAGGACAGCGCAATGGTATAAACATCTATGAATCTCTGCATCAACAAGATAACCTAAAAAGAATTTACCGCTCTTTTATAACATTGAAGTTTTTGTTTGCCTTGCCTTGATGTAAGAAGAGGATATATTAATTACTTTAAAACTACTAAATTTTGAATATAAAATATATGGAGATAACGAGAAGAAAGTCCATTTGATAACACAAAACAGGATCAGAGCAAACACAGACATCCAAAACATCAGAGATGGGGTCAGGTGCCATTGAAGAGTGAGCATCCCCTGCCGACCGGTCACACCTGCAGTGTGTTCTTTGTCAAGTTTGGGGAAATAATAAAAATATGTCCTTTCGGGTTAATATTAATCTTCTGTAAAATGTCCTTTAAAATTAATCTGCTGTAAAATCTTACGTGTTTGTTTTGAAGAAGCAGAAAACAAAGAACGCCTATCCTGCCAGTCCATGCCTTGGACTCTGTCCCATTCTTCAAAGACATGCAAATTAGTATTCACTTCAGAGAGGTTGCTGAGATTTCCTGTAAATCTAAAATGTTGAAACAACCGCTACATCAAATATGTATGAAACGTCATGTGATGTATTCGATAAGATCTAGACTTATTTAATACTTAAGTTTTATTGTTGTTTTTTATTTAAACTGTAAACACTTATAAAACCAAAAAATGACTAACTTGAAGTGTTTGGACACCCATTCAAGCTTCCCTCCACATTCATGCTTTCCTCTGATGTAACACATAGTGCATATATGTAATGTGCATATATTACATTTCCACAGTAATCCTTTGATGCGCGAATCAGACTTTATCTCTGCCCCGTTCAGATGAGTGGTCGGTGGCTTACTGCATTCTGTACATTCATCTTTTTCCAAAACTCCTGCAAATAAATCTTAATCCATATAAATATGCAAAACTAACACTTCATATAGAAACTGAGAGAGCAATATCTGAGCTGCCTTATCTTTAAAAAAAATTTATTAATCATTTTGCAAACCCGTTTACAATTTCTGACTCGGGCCAGAATAGTAAGTATAACAAATTATGCAAGCTGCCTTAAAATTTCAAGAAATCTAATGACAGAACTGCTTTAAGCTTTGATGATATCATCAGAATTGATCAACAAACTAATTTTTTCAGATCACGGTCCTGTACTATCTTTGGAATTAATAAAGAAACTGAAATAATTCATTACCATACTCAAAAAGATACAGAGCATTGTGTTCTTTCGTATCCTTTGAATGTTTTGAAACGTTGTAAAATTTCTTTTTGCACAAATCCCTCTTTGCATCCCAGTGAATTCTGATCTTCAAATTGCTCTTCTGTTTAATATTTAAAAAAAGAAAGATTATTATCCAAATAACTTAAGATTCTTATACATATAAATGTATTTTTTCATGCAAAATTTTTGTGAAGAAAATGAATTTATCTTGATATTTCAAGCGATAGAATAAATCTTATTATAATAACTATTTATCAGGGTTAAAATTTGAGATTCTGATGGGATTGGTGTATTTTACGTCAAAGTTTGTTGGAAATATACAATTTACATCATCGTCTGTTTCCTTGTATGACACCACAGTTCCCGCTACAAATTCCTTGCCTTCAAGCTGCATAATGACTCTGATTTCAGGTAATTTCTCTATCATGTCTTGGAAAAAATGTGAAAAGATACCTATATTGAGATGGCGTCAATGCAATCTTTATTTTACTTATTGTTTAATGAATACTGGTATATTATGTATACCTGTTCAAAGGCACCTAATTCACCCATATTATCTTTTTTCATGCTTACAGAATGTTTTTATTCACTTTTAATTTCAAAACCCCTGATTTTACCTTTGGTGAGTGGAGGAAGAATATCGTTTGGCATTTTCTCAGGTAGACGAATTCTAATTTCTTTGGCATCCTTATAATTTTTCCTAATAGTTTTAGAATCTATCTCCTTTTCGGGATTTTCTGCTTCTTGAAATATGTATCTATATACATTTCCTTTCACAAATCCTACCACTGTGCCTAAAATATTGACAAACAAAGCAAAATATATTGAAAATGTAGTGTAATAGATTGCTGCATATTTTGTTTAACGTTTGCAGTTCCACGGAGAACATTGGTGACAGCTTACTTTGCGTTGATTTATACTACGCTGGAAAAAAGAAATTTTGAATTACATTAAAACAGAAATAATGATCAATATTAAATCCCATATTATAAAGAATATTGTTTCTCTCGAAACAGCGAAATTAAATGCACATGAAACTTTCTACGATGACAGAAGTAAAAAATTTTTATTCCAAAAAAAAAAAATGTAAAAGTGTGAAGGAGGTTTACCTTGCGTATTTTCCTTGTGCAAATCAACCTTGTTACCAACTATAATACCTCGAACTTCTTTCCTTTTACCATTTTTTGCACTTCGAAATCGACTTGGCATGTCAAGACTTAAACAAAAAATCATATAAAAGTTAAAGATATGGATTATTATTTCAAAAATTCATAACAGTTTTCATATTCATAACAGTGAAAACGGTCATTTAATAACCAGCTCTAATGCGATAGCAAAGGAAAAAATCATACTTTAGTAAGAGGTTTTCAATATTTTGATATATTGCTTTTTTGTTGTTTATTTATCCATTTTCTTGCAATTTGAAAATTTGGTTATGTTTTAAAACCAGATTTTGATGGATAAAATGTTTTAAATCCTCCAAGGTTTAAGAACAGAATTTTTACAAAGGGGAATTAAACTTTTGACCCTGGTTTTGAAATTGATAAATTCTAAATAAATGAACCCATCTTTGCATTCAGAAAAGCTTTATTGGCCAAGATGCTGTTTATCTATAAATAATCTTCACATCAAAAGATGTATTTAAAAACAATTGTTTGAAAAATATGCACATGTTTATTTTTTTATCTTTTCATCGCTTTTTTCACCGAAATGGTGCCAAAAATATGTACACAAGATATCATCTCGCTCTGTGCTTCGATCAAGCTAATGAGTTCATACAGAATATTGAACATTATTTCTCTTCAATTGGTTCATCTGAGAGAAAAAATATATGCAAATGTAAATATTAATAAATAAAGCATTGATTTTTACACACCCGTTCAGGCCCTTCGTGAGCATTCTTTTATATATGTGATTACTGTTTTCCTTATCTGTCATGTAGCATGAGGTGCACAGATTTGTGGAATTGCACGTGATGCACGTCCAGCGGATTCCATGTAGGGGGTACTCTTTACAACCGTCACACTGGATGTCGTCATCTCTGATAACTGCCAGTTATTTTAAAATAATGGGTAAAAATGTGTACATTTTGTATAAGAAAAAATATATATTTCATAGAAGCAAAACAAATAAAACAAGAAGTCTGTGAGTCATTGAACCAATGCTCACTTGTTATACCCTCTCTGATGATAATTTACACTCTCATATACGCAATATACACAAGTTCAGTTATGGACAGAGCAAGCATCTGCAATGAAGAGTTGCTGGAAAAACTGCGACGAAACATCTGTTATGCAAGAAAGAGACATAAGCAAAGATGAACAAGAAGTTGAAGTCAGATTCAAGGAAAATGAATACCACCATATGGCATGCATCACGAAAGAGTGTGCTAAAAATTTTAAGCATGTACGATGAGCAGTTGCTGAAAATACTGCGACGAATGACGAAAAAAATTGTTGCAGACACACACAGAGACACCTCTCACGCACACATACACACACCCTAACAGTCACATAAAGGTAAAACAAAGGTAAAACAGTATACCCCTCTCCTTCGAATAAGGGGATAAATATTTGATCAGAGGAATAAATGTAAAACATACATTATTTCTGTATTGAATTAAAATACAAACTGTGTCAATTTGCAGCCAGAAACATGCCCATTTAGGTAGATTTTTGTTGTAACCGTTTTAATCACATCTATGAAATTACATTACTACATCATGTAGAAATAATGAAAAGAATTTAAATTTATAGGAAACTATTGTAGCAATGTAGTTACCTATAAAATCAAAAGATTAACCTATAAAACATAAATATGTACTACCTGAAATTATATATAGTCACCTAGCTAGACTTTAAGAATAAAGTGGATTGTTTTATCTCTGGCGTAAAAATAATTGAATGACATTGTGCCTAGCTAAAATAGGATACATTATTTTATAGGTAATTTGTTAAATGACATTTTAAACTTACGATTACATTCATATAATTGAAGTTCAAAGAACTCAGGTCCTATAACACAATACTCCTTCTTTCCATTGTCCCAATAAACCTCCACAAAATTAACATCTTTTTCCTCTCTGTAATCTTTGATTTGGAATCTCTTTTTAAATGCTGAAAAAATGGATATAAAAATAGAAAATACAAAACAAAAGCATTGCGAAACAATCTTTTACTTTATCGTTGGCACATATATGATAATTTGAAACAATTAAATGCAAAAAAAGAACTCACAAAAATGCATTCAAACTTATTATTCAACATGATCAAAAAAGAAAATGCAGTAAAATATGTCTTATCCAGCAACTTTTGATTCCAAGGAAATTGGACAGATCAGACAACATATGGAATTAGATAACATATAAAAAAAATTGAAAATTACTAAAAGGGATTAGAATTGAATGGCATATCAGACAAAATTTCGGAATAGCTAGACAACATCCGAATTAGACAAATTACACTGAACAATACATTTACCTGTAATATCTTCACTCGGAGCACGGACCGCTCTCTGTTTTTTATAATTCCCCCTTTTGGTTGTAAACATACAAAGTATTGGTTTGGCATCCTCATCGAAGTCTACACGTAATATGGTACCGATGTAGTTGCCCTCCACTGCGGACAGTTTACTTTGGTCATAGCCCGGCCCCTTGACGACTCGTGTCCCTCGAGTCAAGGTTTCTTTTTGTGATAAAAAAATATATATATATATTTTAGAGTGACAAATCATCTCGCTGATTTTAATTTTCACTATATTCGCGATCAATGTTTCCTACGAAATAAAACCTGTCGTGAATGTAAACATTAGTTTTTAAAAGATCAACGTAAACTTTTAACACAGCATGGAATTAAAAAAAACTTACTGTAATTACCATGATAACCGCTAAGTAAAAAAAATTGAATGAATATACATGTAGGTTGTTAAAAAATTCGTATATGTATGGAGGAAATATAAGACACAAGAAAAAGTATTAAAATTACTTTTTATTACAAAAGACTGGGTAGGATGGTTGTATCATTTCTTTTTTTCAAATAATAGGAAAATTAACTTGATATAGAGGAACATATGTTTTATGCAAGGTGAAAAAACTAATAAAAAATCTTAGCAGCAATGTATAAATTATCATAGTGAGATTTATAAAAATATGTAGAATTTTTTTTTAAATGTATATATTTTTTATTAAAAGAGAGGTTTTTTTTACAAAATACTTTCCTACATGTGACAGGTTAAACCTTATGTACTATATGTATTCACCTTTTCCTCCGTATTTTTCTGATGTAACCTCCCCATCCACTGCTAGAGTATCAAATGGTTTCTGCAACTTGTTGTCTGTTGTACTCTTTAAAGAAATAAATTGTGAATTACAATTACCATTTCCAGGGCAAAATACCATTTAAAGATAATATGTTTAAGAGTATTAAAATGTAAATCATGTGAAATATGTCGTTATTTTTCAAAAATTACGATTATTCAAAACAAATGTTCGAAACACTATGAATAAATTATTTACTACTTTAGCAACATGTATTCGTAACTCCTTCCTAAAAGCTTTGAAATAAACTGGCAATTATTAATTTTGCGCGATTGAAAAAAAAATTCTAAGTACATTATCTATATATAACCTTCTTAGTTCGAGGCATTATGATAGAAATATCTAGGAAAAAAATTGTTTAATACTAAAAATTTAGTTACTGTATAAAGCCAAGCTCATTTGATATCTAAAAACCTCTGCAAGGCACATTGCATGCAGAAAGTTATGCATTTGCTGCTTCAATCACAAGTTTATTCAAGAGAATTGACCTCCATAAAAAAACAAAGTGAAGGGACACTTTGCAATTTTGTAGAAATCAGTATTTCTGCAGAGATATTGAGAAATTTACATGAAACAAGCATGAATTATTTTTTAACATAAAAAGCTTCACAATGAATTTGAAGATGCAGCATCAGAATTAAAATTTTACCTAGAAAGATGAAAATTGAATCAACAGAACATCAATTTTTAAGGATTAATGCAGTTTTGACAAATGCAGCTCAACAGAATATATTACATCTCGAGCAATATGGTTCAACGTACTATGGTACAATATATATCCAAGACATCTTGTATAGATAAATAAAACCTACAAAGGAAGTACTTTATGACTCCTAAGATTATTACTAGTATTAATCATTAAATATATTCAGAAAAAAATCTTTTTCACCATACGGCACTCACCATCTTGAGTGTTCAGGGTTGTCTTCTGAAAGAGATTAGAAGGTATTAAATAACTAAGAAACGTACATGTAGCTCACATGATGTATGTTTGTATTAAATTTTCTTCCAATGTTATGAAAATAAAGGGATTCATTTACATAAACGGTTCACAATACAATGAATTCATATATTTTTGAATTTA